CCTTGAGCAGCAATCTTCAAATGCTTACCATGAGATTCATGCGCTCCTGTCAAATGCAATTTGATGCTTGCTGCAGGACTGGATTACATCGACTCTTAGCTTAAAGATAGGGAGGTGGTGAAGTGGTTGGTGGGTCGTGTTAAGCACTTCACTTATTCGGAAAGTTGTATCAGCCAACGCCAGCGGGTTGATCGCTGATGAAACCTCAGCACGGATGCAAAGGGCTCGTTTGGTGTTTACCAACTAACGCCATCTCCAGCGTAGATGTGATATCCGGCTGTGCACCAAAAGATGTGTGTACTGCTCAGCACTTCGCTCTGTCCTCTTTTATGACTGACTGTGAGATATGGCCATTGAAAGTGGAAGAGATGAAAAGCCTGGCTAGCCATGTTTGATCATAGGTATCTGCTTTCTATCTCCCGTGTTGATCATCTTTACTCCTCTTTTATTGAATATAAAAATTCCTACTACTAACAAGTTGAGTTATTCCATTCATTGATATCAACTGGTAAGAATGAAGTGATTTTCTACCTTGGTGATAAGCTGAATTTCTAATTTGTCAGTATTTTTGTTTTTCATGATTCACTTGTGTCAATTTGACAGTGTAATATCAATATCAAACAATGCAAATATTGTCCAGTATGTTGTCCCAGTATTATTGATTCATAGTACAGAAACTGACTTGAATACAAGTTTCTATTATAATTGTGTAAAGTTTTTTTATATCTACACCTTATATATATACTGAATGTTAATGTTGGTTGTAGCCTTTTGAAGCTGATTGAGTCAAGTATTCACCCAAAACTAATTATATCCATTTATAGATGTATCCTGACAATTTTAGGGTGAAACAGTGGTTCACTGACTTGTAAAATTTTAAGCGCCGAGATGATATTATCTTTTCTTTCATAATAAGTGTACCTCATGATCTCGTGAACACCAGCGTATGCGTGGTTACTCAGTCCTGCTTTTTATACTAAGACAAACCGGTAACATATACGTAAGACGCTTAGGTGGATTTCTTAATTCAACTGATTTTTTTAAACAGAACACTTGCAGTTATATAGCTTAATAGATAACATGTCACAGACTAAAACAATGTTCGGAAATCTCGACAGTGATGTCAGTTTTAGACGTATGAGTTACTTGTTGCATATTCATATCTGCAAATGAACGATACTTGTAATCGTAATAACTGGGCTGTTGTATTTGTGTAAAACAGATACATCAATATAAAGTCACGAAGAGTTCGTTTTATGTGTGTACCTCTTTACTCAAGAAAATTTCCTAAAGTCAAATGTCGAAACTCAGTGAAGATATTCTTAATGTATATGGTTCCTTATGTCTTGTTGTGATTGTATTATAGAGCCATAAGGACTTTATGTGTTCCGCTGTTGAAGTTTATCATTTGTAGTATGTAAGAATGCTTAGATCATTTTGATTAATTTGTGTATCCCTGTTTCTTATGATTTTTAAAATTTTTTACAAACTTGTTACTTTTTGGTTTCCAGCGGTTTAATAACTTTAAAACTTCTGTGTTAGCATTTAATTTGGTTAAAAGCAGTATTCTGTGTCCACTTCAATTCGGATAAAAGGAGCTTGACGATCGTCCATTTTATACGATGTTTTGTTATATCAATGCATGAATGTCTCCCATCAAACAGGATTCTTTTGCTCAAGATTGTATGCACGATTTGCATACTTTTAACACATTTGAAGTCCTTTTTCTGTTAACGATGGTGTCAACCATTACTCCACGGATTGAAGAACATACGTCTCAATGAGTAGCCCAACTTACCTGAAAAATGTTCTGCCTCTTAGCGCGAAAGATGCGTAATCGCTCATGTTCAACAGTATAATTCTGTACTTTTAGCAACACTTTTGTGTTAGGAACTCAAGCATCATTCGGAACTGAAGAGAAGCAAATTAGTTAGACATTTTTTGACGTGGTTTGAAACATAAACATTCAAATTTTTTGACTAAAGAGTGTTATGATAGTGTATAACTGTTATGTTAAACAAAAACCTTTCCGAGTTTTTGTGGTTGTGACACACTTCTAAAAGAAGTGCCGCTGCATGTGATGACAATCGCAGATGTCTTCTGTAATCATTGTAAAAATCCTGATTTAAGGTATACTAATTAAAGCCACTTTTATCACTTTTGATCTTCTGAACGCCGTGAGCGAAATTTCGAGTTTTACAACATTTGTTAGATATAAGTCGACGCTTAAAAGTGGGTGCGTACGGACTCTCAATGACAACAAGTTTTTGTATTAAGTAGATTATGTCATTTCTCACCCAGTTAAAGGTAGAAAAAGATGGTAGTGGATTTCAGTTGTTCAACATTGAATTCTACCTGGGCACTACATAATGTATGTGGCTCATAGAATAGGGTATAAAGATTTCATTCTGGATAACAGGGTTGCACTACACTTACACAGTAACATAACTGGGTACATGTTTTTATACTAGGTAATGATTCACATTCAGTATCAGGAAGCTAGTTGTTGTATCTCTGGGGCGGCAGGTTCTGGACTGAAGTTCTTTATCATATTCACATTGCCATTCGTGAAATTACAAAAGTAGGATTACTTTTCTGATGGATAACAAACTTTTTTTCATCATATACAAGCGATCGACTCATTGTTATAAACATCTTGTTTAAATGGTAAGGGAGAAAACATTATCACAAAAGAATAAGTTTTACAAAAATCCCGGAGGACTACCTGAAAATACCACATACATTTTCATACTACTAACTTTTGTTTTAGTAGTGTTATATTTTTTACGGAAACTCATCTGCTGAATAATAGAGCTGTGAAATACGATGTTGACCATTGATATCCTCGTATGTTGCTGTTACTATCTACGCTTGCCTTCATATATGCTGTTATAATTTTAAGGTTCGGACAAGAAAACTTCGTTTTTGGCCCTGTTCAATGAATCCTAAGTACAACTAATTTATGACTTCAGATTAATGTACTAGTTTTTTTTAATGATAATAATCACTTTATTCCACAACAATAACAATTTACAGCATGGAATTTTCAGCGTTTCTTTTACATATTGCAATGGTTTAGCTCTGTTTATAATTATATAAATGTATAAAATGTTAAAATATTGATAGTTAATAGGAAAAAATAAAAAAAAACCCAACAAAATCACACCATTTCTAGGTCACAGTGAATTATAAATAAATAATATAACAAATAACACATGCATTAATATGCATCATTTCATTTTATAGTTTGGTTATTGATTCAAAAGTTGTAAAAGTTCTTTTCTGATATTTGTCTCTTCACACAATACTCTTGCCAAATATGGCACGGTCGAATTTTTATATTTTGTAGTACGAGCATAAATGTTTATAAAATTTCTTCTGGTCTTACCCGAAGAGATACAAGGAAACAATTGTGAATAAAAAGGATGTTCACTATCAGATAAGATAACTTTAGCTAAGTGTTTACAAGAATTCATATGCCTATTGACAACAGTGTCATTTAGTTGAGTCAAAGGGATAGCACTGACCCTACTTACAGCCCTCAATGTTCTTCGTAGTATCATATGCTCTTTCTTGAGTAGCCCAGGGAAGAATAATGGAGAACAATAAAGAATGATGGGCAAAACACATGAATTAATAAATTGTATGATAAGAGATTATATATAATACGATTAGGACACATTATTGATAAATTAAAACAAAATTAAAAGAGCAAACCAAAGCAATTTTGCAAAATGTTGTAAGGTGGAATTTTTGGTAGCCCTATGTTCAAGCAGGCCGCCGATTTTATTAAATTGTTATTAAATCGATAAATCGAGAATGCTTAAATATGATATTTTTCAGGACTTAAAGGGAAAATAAAAATTTCAGCAGAATATATCTTTTCAGCTTGTTCGTTCTCAATAACTGTATAATCTCAAACCCTATAAATTTTCGTGCTACAAGTTAGCGTAGTTTGAAGTATTACTCAATTGGGAGCAGTAAAAACGGGTTAAATTAAACAGAGACAATAATTTCTCAACATGGCATTAGAAGTTACAAGTGTGATAAGAGATGAAGATTAACCATAAAGAGAATAAAAACTGCAGCTATACATACTTAGAAAAATATGGTTGCACAATATGTAAAGTAATTTTCCAAAAAACTGGAGGCGAGAGAGAACGAAGTTGAAGAGGCTGATTTGAAAGTAAAACGAAGCAAACAGAATTCACTTCATGGTAGATACAAGCTTCTTTGGTGTATATAGCTCCACTTGTGTTGTGCATATTGCTACATCTTCTGTAGATTTTTTCACTTTGTAAATGAGTACAGATAATTATTTGATTGAAATGTGACAAGTGCACTTCTGTTTAAGACATTACCATCCATTTGTGACCATGCTCCATAGTATACTTTAACTCGTTTTGGAAGAACACGCATAGAATATATATATATATATGGCTCCACTGGAGTACATGTGTGTATTGAAATGAAAATCTGGATCGTGACAGCATTTAAACCAGCAGCATTCTAGTTATTATTGGCTTAGACTATGACAATATCCAGTGTGTAGCTAAGTCATTCAAACACAAGGTTATGAATGCACTAGTATTTGGACACATTTGTTTTAATGTTTTAATAGCCCAGCAACACTTCTATGCTCTGTCATCCCTGACTTAACCCTGTACTAAATGAGTTAGGAGATTTCGCGGCTACTGAAGTTCAAAAATATCCTAGTTAGTTTGTTGGTCCAGAATTCCTTGGTCTAAACACTGCTGTGACATAGGTTCAGCTTTAGTCATGATCTTTGTATGCTGAAACCTTGTTTGGAACTGATGAAAATGATAGCAAAGTCAAATCACTGCATTTCACTTACTCGTTTGTAATTTTTACTGAGAAAGACATCAATTTTATAACCTTGTGTATAGACGTATTTAATCGGTTAATTAGTTTCTACATGTTTATATCTTTCTAAGTCTTGAATCAACTAACATTTGTTCATTGTTGTGTGTGTTTTTCAGGAAGATATTGTAAATGTGAATGAAATTTTTCATCAACTTTCCCAGTTGGTGTATGAACAACGAGAGGCTATTGATTCAATTGAAGATAATATTGAAGTGGCACTAACTAATGAACACTCCGGTCATTCAGAACTTGTTCGAGCTGCGGACAGGCGGGTAAGATTAGTCTATATTAAAAATGTGATTCTTAAGTAATTTTATTTTAAAAATAACTCATAGTGATACAGTATTATTTACTGATGACGTTTTTGAACACAATTATACTGATCTTAATCACATCAAGGTCATGATATCGCTAACTAGTCTTTGTTTTTCAGCTATATACTTAGTGGCAAATGCGTACACTTAAAAGCTTCGTGTAATTGCGAAGCATTGAATTTAGAAATTAACTTTCCCCTTAGATATAAGTATAAAACTTGGGCACTGTGGTAGAGCATAACTCCATTATGGATAAGATTTTGTTTTGATAAATCACACAGTTTTGTACAGTAATATTAACTGATGACGTTTCGAGCACAAACTATTTGCTCATAATCATATGAGCAATAGTTTGTGCTCGAAACGTCATCAGTTAATATTACTGTACAAAACTGTGTGATTTATCAAAACAAAATCTTATCCATAATGGAGTTCCCCTTAGATACTTACTTTACTTTACTTCGGCTATCTCCTACGGGAGGATGAGCCGGCTTCATGAACATCTCGAATCATCGCTGCCCAGGCGCGGCGATCTGATGCAAGGTTTTGCGACAGGGTTATCCAATTCTTGTTCCACAGACGGAGTCCGTAGACGGTTTGTAGCCCCAGGCACTCCATATCAGCCTTGACTGTACCAAGCCATGTTTTCAGCTGTCCACCCCTGCGACATCGTCAAGATGGAAATGGCAAGGGATTTAGAACTGATTTGACCAGATTGTCATCTGGTCGGCGCAGAACATGGCCAAACCACCGAAGGCGACGTTGTTGGACCAGTACTGGAATTTGGTTATTGTTGTAGAGAGTTCATGAAGTTCCATGGGAATTAGGTACGAGTGATGTCCCCAGCATCGCTCGGCCTTTTGTTTGAGAGTGCAGCTCTAGCCTTTACACAACCAAGTGTGACCTACAAGGCAGTAGGAGTGGAGTAGGGAGTCCACTATCCATTGGCAGCCGGTGACCGGAGTCCGGTTCATACGCCTTTTTGAATGGGGCCAGACATCCAGGGCATCCAATAAGCCCTTTGTGCATACGTCTGCCGGTGAGCTCTGGTGAGCTTCATACGCCAGTCGTTGGAGGTTTGGAATCGGGGTTTAGCCATCTCCTCTAGACTGTCATCCAATGGACAGTCAACTTGGTGAAGAGCGCCGGGCATCCGCTTTTGCCCTTTCACTTTGGTGAAAAACACCTCCGCCACGTGAAGGCAGTGAGTAGGACTTCCTCAGGGGAGGCTATGTAAGACGCCCGGTCATATGGGAGCATTTCAAGAGGTGTGCGGAGGGGTGGCCAACTCGCAGCGCAAGGCACCTACCCCCGACCATCCTGAGGCTTTGGAGGCTTCCTCTTAGATGCATTTCAATCGCTGGGACCTGTAGTTATACAGTTATAATATATCTAGGGCAGATTAGAAAAGGAATTTGATGTGTAACAGCGAGAGACAGAGAGCAATAGCATGTGCTGTTATGAAACTGTAAAGTTTCTTACAGAAGTAAAAGAAATGGAAAGAATGCAGTGCTTTCTTAGCATTGATTAAATTGTTTTAGAAGATATAGACATAAAGACATAGTATATCAAGTAATATATTTGGACTAACAATGATAACTTGTGTTAATACAGAAGCCATTCAAGAAGAAAAACGTGACGTTGGAAAGGACCCAATAAGCAATAGACAATTATGAATAAAAGATGCTTGATGGAGAATGGATGATATCATTAGCCCATTGTATATGCTCACAGTAAACATTCATCTCGTCCTCACCAGTCATGCTGTCATGTTTTCTTCAACATTGTTGAAACACTCGAACTTATGCACTTATTTTTCATTGTTTGATAGGATCTTAAAACTTTACAAGATGAAACGATTTCTATGTATGTAGTGCGCTTCAAGTCTACCAGCTTTCATGAAAATCCTGTTTTCGTTATAGGAGATTTGATAGATTCAGAGTTTGAAACATCACATTATTAATTTTTAGTTTGAGGTGTTTGGAGCCATATAGATTCACAGTTGATTCTGTATTACTTCATAGCCACACTGGTAACTGTAAGTTCCAATGTAAATAACGGAATGACGCAACCGCTAATCTCAGATTAATAATAAAACAAATGTATAACTCCTGGAATAATTTGAGCGCCGAGTCAGATTGATTCATTATAAATTATTTAAATTAATCCCAGCGTGTTAAGAAAATCGGATAATCCGAATAAATCTGCTGAAGAAGCTGTGGCTTACACGGCGAAACGTTCAGAAAAATCTTGTTTTGATTTTCTTAACACGCTGGGATTAATTTAAATAATTTATAATGAACAAATGTATAACTGTTCAATCTTATCGTCAGCCTACTGGATTCTGACGTGTAATATGTGTTCAACTATATCAGTGCAAGACTGTCGATCACAGTCTAGTTATACAAGTTTCCGATCATGATGCCAATATTTATACAGTTTTGAATCTACTTGATAAGTTCGCTGTGCTGATGAGATTCAGTAGGCGCGCGAAACTAATATCAAGCTGGGTTTTATGTCGACTAACTCTTAACACATACCGAAACACTATGTATTTATATGACTAATTAGTAAGTCTGTTCACACACTGTCTGTATTTTTACCCTATATATAAATTGTCTCCGTATCTTTGCTGTCAGAAATTACATAGAATTAGTTCCCCTTATAAATTTTTGTAAAGGAAAAACAATAAACATTGTGGGTTGAATCGAATTCAGTTTCATTTTGTGTGCTCTAAATTTCCCAAAGCACACTAAATTAATAATTTGCGTACAATGTGATAATATAAAATGTCATTGACATTTATAATAAGAGGAAAAGATACTCCCAGAATGGAGAAATCTCAGTTTGTTTCACCTCAGTAAGAACAACACCTGAACATGTTCTTTTTGAATTTTAAGTTCTGGTTCAGTGGATCTTTTCAATTCATGAATAATCCCTACCCAAACATTAATGAAGATAAAGCACGTGGTAGTTCAGCAATGAGGCTCTTTTCGATGAATTCATTTTCTTTAGCTGCACAATCGCATTCGTATACAATTTTTTCATGAAAGAGGGTAGTAACAAAAATGATGAGTTGTCACAAACGTACTTGTTAACGTTAGTTAATGCATAAAAAAGTTGAATAAGTGTATTATCGTTACGTAACAAGATGAATAATTTAATGAATGAGTTTTGATTAGGATGCACATAGAAACGAAGCAAAATATGGAGTTATGTATGAATTGTAAAGAAATACAAGAGTTATAAGGAGTTAGAAAAGTAAGCCTACAGACATCAAGCTAGTAGAAATCAACACGGTTGTTGCCATGATAGTGGTTGAATGAATCTCTTTTCTATACATAACTCTGGTTTTTCCAACTTAATGGCTAAGGCTTCAGCGATACAAAGGAGACAAAGGTGTATTGCCTTTGGTAGGTTATTCTTGACTCTGTAAATTACTTTGGAAGCGGTATTTGTTGGGATGGAATGACCAGTGTTGATGAGATGTTCGATTATCGCACTCCTTATACAGCTACTTTTTGTAGCCATGCGGGATAGTGTTCTTGAACCCTTTTGGACAGGATACGCGTCGAACTACCAATTTACCAGCAACAGGTGGACTTATATATGCACAGAAGTTATCAGCTGTGAGATCTTGTCCCTGAGGCTTCTACAGACCAATGGACAACTGGAGAACACTACTCTCAGCGTTGCTACAAAGAATTTTCCTTTCAAAGATGCTGAAATTCTTCTCCTAAGGATATCACAGGTTAAGTCTCCCTTGAAATCCAGGTTCATGTAAAGTTTCTTTTTCGGAACAAGTAATTTTTTTGATGTGGTTTTGTTCTCTGAGCTGGATAGTTAGTTTGCGAAGCTTTCATCACCTTACTGGGTGACATCTTCAGCGCATACTTCAAATTGAAGTGAGCTTTTAGGTTTCTCCACGAGTTTATTAATCATTCCTCCTGGTGACCTTGGACGTGATTGGTTGTTTATGTATGTTTTCACACCTTCTAGGTTACTTGTGTTGGAACTGATTGTTTCTGTGACTTGAACTTTGGCCAATCGTGTGTGAAGTTTCTTTCTTATTGGTTGATAAATTTTGTCTATCTCGATGTGTCTATTGATTGATGATTCACTGGAATGCCAAGCTTCTAAAAATTCTCTAGCATTCTTGTTATTTCCTTTGTCTAATATTTGAACGTTGTCCCAGTCGAATTGATGTCCGTGGTTGTCTGTGTGTAGTGAAATGAGGGAGTGGATATCATGTCTTTTGACGGCTAGCTTATGTTCGTGGATACGAAGACGAAGGGGACGTCCACTTTGGCCAATGTAGTGTTTTTCACAGTTGTTACAGTTTATTTTGTAGATGATGTTGGTTTTGTCTTCTTTTGCTGTTGAGTCTTTTGGTTGACATAGAATTGAGTGCAGCGACTTTGTTGGTTTGTGTACGACGTCAATTCCTAAAGGTTTGAAGAGTCTTTTAGTGATTTCTGAGATATCCTTTATATATGGTAAGGCGATTTTCTTTGTGTTTTCTTTGGTGGCTTTTGTTTTGGTAGGTTGGCTTGGGGGTATATGTCTCTTGATGAAATTCCGGGGATATCCATTCTTTTGGAAGACGTCCATGAGATACTTTTCTTCAATTTTTCTTAAGGTGGGAGTGCTGCAGTGGGTCCTTGCTGAGGCGAACAACTACAGGAGAATTAGAAACTCAAGTTTATAGGAAATCAACTCACACAGACCAAATACTGAATTACAACAGCAACAACCCAATAGCACACAAAAGGAACTGCATACAAACACTATTCAAGAGAGCAAGGACCCACTGCAGCACTCCCACCTTAAGAAAAATTGAAGAAAAGTATCTCATGGACGTCTTCCAAAAGAATGGATATCCCCGGAATTTCATCAAGAGACATATACCCCCAAGCCAACCTACCAAAACAAAAGCCACCAAAGAAAACACAAAGAAAATCGCCTTACCATATATAAAGGATATCTCAGAAATCACTAAAAGACTCTTCAAACCTTTAGGAATTGACGTCGTACACAAACCAACAAAGTCGCTGCACTCAATTCTATGTCAACCAAAAGACTCAACAGCAAAAGAAGACAAAACCAACATCATCTACAAAATAAACTGTAACAACTGTGAAAAACACTACATTGGCCAAAGTGGACGTCCCCTTCGTCTTCGTATCCACGAACATAAGCTAGCCGTCAAAAGACATGATATCCACTCCCTCATTTCACTACACACAGACAACCACGGACATCAATTCGACTGGGACAACGTTCAAATATTAGACAAAGGAAATAACAAGAATGCTAGAGAATTTTTAGAAGCTTGGCATTCCAGTGAATCATCAATCAATAGACACATCGAGATAGACAAAATTTATCAACCAATAAGAAAGAAACTTCACACACGATTGGCCAAAGTTCAAGTCACAGAAACAATCAGTTCCAACACAAGTAACCTAGAAGGTGTGAAAACATACATAAACAACCAATCACGTCCAAGGTCACCAGGAGGAATGATTAATAAACTCGTGGAGAAACCTAAAAGCTCACTTCAATTTGAAGTATGCGCTGAAGATGTCACCCAGTAAGGTGATGAAAGCTTCGCAAACTAACTATCCAGCTCAGAGAACAAAACCACATCAAAATTATCCACCTGAGCTACAAATCTTCTCTATCATATCTAAGTAATTTTTTGTTCCGCTGGGCTTTTGGTCTCAAATTCTTGTCGACTAACTTTGGCGGGTATCCTTTTCCAAATGAACTGTCGTCAAGATTTGACAGAATAGTCCTAAAATATAATTGGACGCCGAGTGAGAAGTAGACATTTGTAAAAAATTATATTTGTAAAATCTCAGCGACATTGAAATGAGTAATTCCAACGTTTCGTTCGGCAATCCAGTCCGAACTTCTTCAGAGAAATTAATCGAAATTAACATAACAGGTTTATATATAAAAGGAACATCTTTAGTTTTTAAAAACTTTGTCCAATCATGATTTATAAAACAAATATTAACAAGTATAATAAACAAAATTGTACGAGTTGTGATCAAAATTTGACCTCAGACTTACAAATATTGATCTACCTTTGTTAAACATTTTAAACACAGTGTGTATGTATGTGTGTGTGTGTGCCGATAAACAGTTGTAAAACAATGTCTTAACGTCTCCATAAGTAGATATAAAGAGTCGGGAAACTTTGACCAAGTATTATTAGTTAGTGATACATATCCATTCTTATTTATTAATCAGGATTTCCTATGCGTCATCTAACATCACACCTTCATGTCTGTTCAAACTGTTAGTATCTAGAATTTTATGATTAGACGTATTTTCAAAATTATGGTGTTTAGGATTAGAGTTTAGTTGAACAACCCCGTCAAACTTATTACTTTGTCTTCTTTCTGAAAATTGAGCTGCTTTATTCGACCTACTGAAGTTGTCAGGTGACTGGACAGCTAGGAATTTAGGATACGCATTCTGCTGCAGACAACGGAGAGTGGAAACACGATGATTGTGCCAATTACATAGTTTCTTTGTTAATTTAATTCGATTGCAAAATAATTCAAATGAACTGTCGTCAAGATTTGACAGAGTAGTTATGGAGACGTTACGAAGTGTTTACCCACACACACACACACATACACATGGTGTTTAAAATGTTTAACAAAGGTAGACCAATATTTGTTAGTCCGGGGTCAAATTTTGATCACAACTCATACAGTTTTGTTCATTATACTTGTTGATACTTGTTTTATGATTCATGATTGAACAAAGTTTTTAAAAACAAGAGATGTTCCTTTTATATATAACCCGGTGTTGTGTTAATTTCAATTAATTTCTCTGAAGAAGTTCGGACCGGATTGCCGAACGAAACGTTGGAATTACTCATTTCAATGTCGCTGAGATTTTACAAATATAATTTTTTACAAAGGTATCCCTTTTTGATGAAGGTTTCGTTTGGGAAATGCAGTTATGCTTCCAGCACCTCAGGACTTCAAATTCTTGGTATCCGGGTGGCATGGGACTTAACTAGATTTCGTTTTAGGCAACCAACTGTGGAAACTTGTTAGTTGACCGTTCCAACTGGGTTTTCCATGGACTGACCTCCTTAAGGTTCTATTGGGTCGTCTTGGTAATTCTGGGGCCTTAGCTGTTGAAAATGGTGAAAATGTCATCTACGTACCGTTTATATAGTTGTAAATTACCAATTAACGACTTTAATGCACCATTCTCAATGCTGGGCATGAAATAGTCTGCTAGTCATGAACCCAAGGGAGATCCCATTGTATTGCCATCCTTTTGTCTGTAAATGGTGTCACTGAAAGTGAATTATGCATTGAGAGTACATCTCGACAGCAGTATTTTCAAATAAGTTGTTGGTATTCCAATGGTAAACTGGTTGCCATTTATACATTTACATGTAAAACAGTTTCTGTAAGTTTGACATCGATGAAAAGTGATTCGATGTCGAAAGTTAGCATGCTTTTGTTAGTAACATTTATATCTTGTATGTAGTCGACGAATTGGAAGGTATCATAAAATATATATGCATATATATATATATATATATATATATATATATATATATGCATAGATGTTTCCTTACAGGTTCCAGAATATCAGCCAGTCATTTTGATACAGAATGATAAGGGGAATCTGATATATCTAAAATTGGATGGAGGGGATGACCAAGCTTTATGTGTCTTCGGTAAACCATAAATCCTTGGTATTACTGAACCTGTCGGTCGGATTCGAAGATAGAAATCGCAGCTAATTAACTGGTCAGATTTCATTCTTCCCCAGGCATTTGTAAGCTGTTTCCCACTTAGTTCAGTTTTGTTTCTTTAGTTGGGAGGTTAAGAAAATTTACTTTTCTCGGAGAGTGTATTCTTCATTTTACTCCATAGTCTTTTCATTCCAGAAGAACTGCACCAACACCCTTGTCAGGAGGGTTTATTAACAGTTTTATGTTGTCTTTCAACTGTCTTCTTCTCAGTGCTGCTTTATTAGGTGGTTGCAGATTTTTGTTTTTGTACTGAGGTATGGATGGCAGCAATCCATGATTGTTGATTTCAATCGTTGTAATTCTTCGTCAGAATTTGGGATCAAATCATTCGTGTGGCTGATTAAATTTTCAGAGTGCACATATGAGTATGGAGTTTGTTGACGTTGAAGTTGATACTGCGAATTTTTTTTCTTCACACATCGTATGAATCTGTAAGTGTGGGGTTAAACTTAAGATATACCTTAAATGACCGAACTCACTAAATGTTTCACCGCTTAATAACCTTATCAGTACTCTACCTAGCGTGTACGTACTGACAAGCGAAATCAAAGTGAAAAGACTTGAGATGGGAAGTGTGTCTTAAAGGGAGTTGTGTGTTACACAAATGAAATGTCAATTTTTATAAATGGAGATGTTACACAACTTATCTGTTGCTTCGACTGGGTAGTAAGCTCGAAGAGTGCGCTGGATGATAGCACAACAAGAGAGCGAACCACGTGTTTACAGTCACGTCGAAAAGCAAAAGATGGTGTGGCGCCAAAAGTGGATGGATGCGTTAAAATAAAAATTCAAAGGTTCAAGGTGCACTCCAAATCTATAGTGACCAGTTGTCATTATCGTCGTGTATATGACACAACACTGTAATCTCATTCAGGCTTGCACATTTGTCACACGAATACTATTTATTTTGTTACCTGATTACTCATTACAGAAAAAATAAATATTTAAGATGACAAATCATACTGTAAATTGGAATCGGACAAAACAAAGTAATTCAACACACTAATGACAAGGTGCGATTAAGATTTAAGGAGGTGAAGAAGGTGGGTTACATTTGACATATATGATGATATGATACGGTGTGAAATTCTGGTAAAACAGTGAAGGGATAGACTGAGAAACAAAGCTGGCATAATATTGAATATAATGGGTAGTGAAATGTGAGTAAGATGAACAGTGTTTAAGGATGGTGATAAGATGGAACAGGCAATAAAATGGTAAAGAAACAACAATCAGTTACGAAAGCAATCGAAGGTGAACCACCAAATCATTCTGTACGCATAAATTGGTCTTCAATTGTCGGATTACTGCTGTTTCTGATTATCGTAGTAATCTACTTTATGTATGTATTGTTGTGCAGATGTAAAAGTACTTATTTTGTCTTTATCGTACCAGTAAACTTCAAACTATTTCCATTTGACAATAATATCATAAATTAAAATTGTACACAAATTTTCAATTTAGAGCACACTAAATGAAACTGAATTCAACTCATCCTATATATTTCAGGATTTCATCTTGAGGAAACCTCCAGATGTTTCGTCAGCCTAGTTTGTAACTCTTCATCAGCACGCACCCGCACCGTGGGGTTGGAACCCAGGACGTTCTGGCTACAAGCTAGCTCTTAGAGGTGTCTACGAAACAACTGTCCAGTACTCCTAGATTTTCCAATGGTCCTCTAACCGATATCAATTCACGATGAAATCCTGAAAATCCCTGCAAAACTGACACTTGATCATCTAATATATATATATATATATATATATATATATATAGATTCGACATTTTCTGAAGTGAAATCACGCATTCAAATCCATTGGAAAGTGCTTGAGTCTTAACATTTTAGTGTGATATAATAATTATCTTCAACAAGTATAGCCAACGTATCATTATTTAAAAAAAATTATTTGTAAAGGTTATTGCAATGGTTACTGTTTTATTATAATATCGTTTATGTTTTTCCCTTCTTTGTAGCAGAGATCCCGAAAATGTTGTTGTATATTTGTAGCTACTTTGTTTGTGATCATTTTAATTGTGATAATTATCCTATTTATTGAGTATCCTCCGAAACGAACACAGTAGAAGAAAATTACACGCATGCTCACAGAAACACAAGTGTCTATACTTCCTCTGTATATATACACATATAATTTATGCAAACTTAATCATGAATCATTTTCTAATCCTGTTCAGAATAATTTTTACAGTCATCTTATTCGTAGTCGCTAAACTCGCCATTTTATCATTTTTATTTTTTTAGTCCTAAAATGAAGTGTATAAACATTGACACCCATACACACACGCTTATACATTTACTAATGCGTATCATAAGTTGACGTTTCTTATTTTGATAACATACATGAGAAGAACAAACAATCGTACTTTCACACATACAATATATTTTATTGGTCCTAGTTTGCCTTTGTTACACCTTTATTATTATTATTATTGGAAGTAGTAACAACTGCACACCAATGATAGTGAAAATAATTACCATTAATTTTTATTTTGTGATTGAAAGCAAGAAAAACCTCTGTCTGTGTCATGGTGTTTTGCGTTTTCTTTTTTTATTTAAAAGAAACATTTTCCTGCCTATTTGCATTTTATTCGAATAGCAAAAAATTTCTTTCTTTGATGATAACACCAATCCATTTCATTCTAGTGTGTTCATCTTTTCTCGCCTCACTTTCACCTCCAATTTCACTGTTATTATTATTACTTTACATTGAGAAAAATAATGAACATTGACTACTAAGCTGATGACTGACTTATTTGTTATTGATTCAAGAAATCTTTGAAAAATCAATTAATTCCCTTTTTCTTACTTCTTTCTGCTTAAGTATTGATTTATGATGATTTCACAGATTGGTTACAGGATTTCATCATGAGCTAACATCAGTTAGAGAACCATTGGAAAACCTGCAGGGAATAATCGGCAGCCAGATGTTTCATCAGTCTAGTTTGGAACTCTTCAGCAGTACGCACCCACACCACGGGGTCGAAACCCAGGACCTTCTGGTTACAAGCCTAGTGAGCTTGTAGACCACTAAACCACCGGGACCTGATCCAATGGCCAGCGTATGAATTTCAACTTCTGCCAATTCACGACATAGAATGACCACTAGCCAATGTCTTCGGCGAGTATTTATCCTCATGCCCGGAAAGAACAAGAAACCAATTAGTAAAAGAGAATATCTATACATGATTCTACGTTTTCTTTTCTCTCTTAGTAATAATATATTTGTATTGGCTTCTGAATACAATGATAGCTGTAAATAATGATCATCATAATAACAGTAATAATAGTAATAAAAACAGTGTATTTTACGAAGAAAGTAATAGGGATAATAATTGTAACAGCAATAAGAATAAGAATAAAGTCAGTCATCGAAATGGTCATCAGTAAATGTTTCTTTTAGGTGAAACCCTATTGAATTTGTTGAGTTTGATGGTGTTAAGTAGTGCACACTTGCATTTAGATCACCAGCATATATATATGTCATTTATATATGCACTTAGGATGTCTGTCAATCCTTGTTGATTTTCTTGAGGTATATTCAAAAAAGAAATATTTTGTATTTAAATATCTCATTTGTTGTGTTATTTTCAACCTTATCCCAACTAAATACTACTGTCGGTTTATTAAGGTAAATAAAAATGCTTGAATGTTGCTTTTGATATATGCATATATGATGTAGGTGTGTACATCGTCTTATATGAATGATTAGGAAGGAGGAAGACAAAATTAAACATCAATAAACCAATAGAGATGTAGATATTCACTCCAGTTCTCTTCTTCCCATCTTCTTTAAATGTCTCTCTCTGTCTGTCTGTCTGTCCATTGTCGTTTTGCTCTGGATCTAACGGGAATGAAATTGTTGTTCCAGTGTGTTAATTAGGAGTGGAAAAATTTTGATTTTTATCCTTCTAGGCAAAACAAGAAAGTGGTATTATGTATATATATATATTCTTTCCTTTACAAATAGTTCAATTACTGTTTCATTGCATGTGTATAAAGAGAATTAGCTAGTAGATAAAGAATAGTTTGCAACAGGCAGTCTTTTGATTCATTATGCTTAAATAAAAATCTTTTGTTTGGCTTAATTCATTCACAACAGAGAAGAGTATCTTGATTTTGCTTGTTGACGCGTGTGTGTTAAATTATTGAGATTAATATTCAATGAGACAGTGTACTTAACATGAAGGAAGGTAACAGTGATAAGCAGTCAATTTGTTTTCAGCAGTTACTCTAAATGCAGTCTACAAATATAAATGCATTTCAGAAAAGTGAAGAAACAGTAGGCGAAACATAGGCTCAGTTGGTCGTTTTACTGTCTCATATATTTATGTTTTCAGTGTGTGCATATGTATCGTTATTTGACACAATCAAACAAAACTCACCGTACAATAAGAATTATTGTCATTATTGGTATTATTTGTGTTTAAGTTCCTTACGGTAGTCTTTGTCGAAATCTCTGTTTGAATGGATTCCAGTGTTGTACACTGATTCTTATTCGATATTGGTACTGTTGAAGTTTTCTGTTTGGGTTTTTGAGTTTTCGTACGCACTGGTCCTGATTGTTGTTGTTGTCGTCGTCTTGCATGTTGTTCTTCATCATTTTGTTGTAACCTAACGCTGGTATTATTATTGTTATTGGCTGGTGATGAAGTTGACTCAGATTTATTGAAGTTTTTTATTTTACAATAGTTGATCATATTACTTTTCTTGACTTTATTATTATTATTATTATCCCTATCGCATAATTTAATTTCTGTTTTCTGTGAATTTAAATCAGTCAAACTGAAAGCTTTTTCGTGATATGTTAGGGATTCTTTTCGGTGAACAATATGACCGAATGAACTACACTCATCAATATAATTACTGTTGTTTTGAATGTTATTGTTATTTTTCCTCGCATTAATAATAATATTATTATTATCATGATCATCACGATTGAAGTTAATACATAAGTTTGGCTGTGAAGCTTGGACTAATTGTACTTGTTCCCAGATATGCTCATGATTCATGTCAATCAAAGGTGTATATTGTCCACTTTTGTAAAAATTATGTTGTTGTAGTGGAAGTCTTCTAATTTGTTCACTATTATTATTGCTTGAATAGTCTTCAATCATTGTCTTACCAAAAGATGATATATTTCGTGAACTAGGAGGGTGTTTTGACTGTAATGTTTGATAGGGGTTACCTTTTTTAAACAGAAAAAGTAGAATAAACTTCAGTACTTCTAATTACATCAATGTGAGTTATGCTTGTTTCACATAAAAGCTGAATTATACTATTAGTTCCACGAGATAACAGGGAACCTACTGCAACTAGGAAGCATTGTTTCAATCACAGGTGGGACGAGTGAAGATGTCACAGTCAACCACAATCGGAAAAGCAAGATACTCTTTTACCAGCCTTAAACCAGTTTGGAAATCTTTCTCGCTCACTCAGCCAACAAGATTCGAATTTTCAACACAAATATGAACTCAGTCTTTTCTTCTATACGGGTCAGAAACTTGGCCAGCCTGTCACGAAAACGATTTCCAACAAGTTGCAGACTTTTATCAACAGCTGCTCACTTCGTTGGCTGGCTCGATTCTGAAGATCAAATGGTCGGCCGACCAGCCAGAAAGAATAAGCAATACGAAACTCTTCAGTGGAACAAACCAACAGGTGGGAGTCGATTGCTTAACAAATAATATGTAGGAGAAAATGGAGACCGATCGGCCATACGCCACTGATGAGGCCGTCGGATGACATCACACGTAATGCAGGCCATTGCTCGAGTGGAACCCTAATAGGAAACAACGATTGGGCGTTGCTCGAGGGTAACATTGAGGAGATCATTTGGTGAGGAAGAGATTAGAGATTATGGGCAATCGTGGGGTTAGTCATCTGAAGATGACAGCAGAAAATGGAACGAAGTAGAGATATGTTGTTGAAGTCGTATTTTCCATTTGGAACTCAAAGGAATAATAAAAATAATAACCCACTGGGTGTAGACTAACATGCAACAATGGGCTCCAGAACATCAACCTTTTTTTAACCTAAAACTAACTTTTTGCAGCTATTTTGTATAGTTTTCTGTATTCATATGTATTTCTGTCTTTTTTACTGCTTCTTTTGCCAATTTTGTGGATTTTTCCTGTAGATCTTCCAGTTTGCATGACGTTAGACATAAATCGTCTACGTAGTCCAGGTTTTCTTGAGTTTTCTCGTCAGTCCAACGTATGTCTCTTCTCGCTTCCCACTTTCTGCTACACGATCCAGTCCACCACAGTCAGGAATCTCATTAGTGACAGTAGATTGCCCTATCTTCGCTTCAAAGGCCTTCACTAAATCTATGCTGTTAGACAGTCATTTTCAGCCATTGACAGTTAACTAATTGAAGTCAGACAGGACTGATTTTATAACAGTTCATAAACCATGGCTGGTGTTGTTTTACATTTACCACATACCTGAGGAACACTATATATCGAAGATAAGCTTTTTCAACACTACTCACCTTGGTCATTTTAAACTCATGCTTGGCATGGAATCTATACATGACATTTTCATTCCGACATCCCATATTTACCATCATTGTCTTACTTGTTATTAAACTAGTTTCTTTTTTAATGTTTACTCACTGGTATTAACCTAGATAAGTGTCGATAAAGTTAACATTTACCTTGTACACAAACGTGAAGTTAAAATATATGGTTTCCGGAAAATGAAATGTTTTTAGATTGTCTGACAGTTTTACCTGAGATATACAACTGTGTAGTCCAGATTAAGATATCCAACCCTACTGACTCACTTACCATTCTTTCTCACCATTACATCCAGTTTCAGAAGCTAAAGACATGAGAAGATTCAAGACATTTCACTCTAGAAACGGTATCATAGCCAATTTTTATATGATGAAACTATACATTAAGTAGTGATACGGTGGCATTTAGACTGAAATATCTTGAGTCTTTTTTTCTTGTCTTTAGCTTTTGCTGGGTTGTGTCAGTTAATGGTTAAACAGAACAGTCTTTTTTATGGTATTGGGTTGTCAGATGTTTCTATGCCTATTGAGTGTTTGTTTCTTTAAAATATTTGGAAACATTTTCTGTGAAAAGTACACAACAGTTTATAAATGTCCACTTGTTCAAGAACTTAACTGGCTAGAGTTCCATAGAAGCGGTAGGCTTAAGTCATAATATTACACTGTAAAGAAGTTTTGCTTACACACCAAAAGAAAGCGTTATCATAATCAAATAAAAGTATACCTTGTAAAATAATATTTTCCCTTCTTGGCTGTGTATCTACATATCCATAGAGTTCAGTGTTCTGTCCTTTGTAAATTGATTGTCGTTGTTCTGTGGTGCATAAATTATTATTATTATTATTTCGATTATGTACAAAAATAGGATCATCATGAAGCAAGGCTATTTCACCAGTGTTCAACTTGATAGCTGTTGATGGTGACGACGACGTTGGTAAAGTACCGAATAGATGACTGCCAGCTGACAGTTGAGGATGTGGTTCAAATAACATAGTTCCGACTGGACAACAGTTGAATTCTTCCCCGGGATGTGATAGTGTTCTTGTGGAAAAGGTTGAATGCGAATGTGAATTATTTGCTATTTCATGTAATTGCTGTGTGCCTTGTGAACCTCTGTTGTATATATCTTGAACTGTCATGTCATTTGGGCGAAGAGTCATACCAACAACCTTTGTTGGACAGAAAAGGAAATTACTTAATGTAGTTATGTAAAACTTCAGCTTCACAAATAAATATCTCATAGTGGAGAATGCTTACTGTTGAGAAAGGCAAATATGAAGGATTCTGCGTGCATGGTAAACATGACTGTAATGAAACTAAGGCAGTTGAAATTCTTTAATGGAATCGACATAAAATTTCGAAGCACCGACGGTCACTTTGCTTCAGTATTCATCGAAATGGAAATGTGGCTTATTACCTTAAGCACTTGGTTCTCCGCCTGTGGGTCCCGTGTCTAAGTCCTGTCCTATCTACCTACTTCAGCCTGGTTAATTGGGTTGTCATAAGTCCTCAGACGATAAATGTGGTTCACAGCCCAGACCACAAAAAAGCCTGTTCCAGGTAGCTAAGTTCTAATAACAACAGATCTCATCGACAGTTAAAGAATTGATTCAGGGGTGAAATATCTATTTAGAGCGTCTGACCCCACCTGTTATTATATGTTTGCGAAATGTCGGTGATAAAAGTTCTTACACCCGACTTTTCCCTGTATACTCATAGCTATTATCTCCGGATGGTAATATAACTAGCTCCACGTGATATTTACTTATTCTGAACTTGTTGTCATTATTTAAACGAAATTCCATTTGAATGCAGCACCTATTTAAATCAGTTGAATTTAAAACTACCCATTTCGCTCAAAATTTTAAAACTAAGAGTTGACACATTTCGCAAACTTGATTTCTGTAAGTAAATACTACAGTTGAACATATCGAAACTCTGTGGTTTTAGTGATTCATGTTCGAGTTTTCCTGACATTCTTTCGTAGAATTTGATGGAAAGTAATGGCTAACTGCTCACAATTCTACTTTTGCTTGCGGAAATGCTAAGTTTACGAAATCGATAAGTCTCAAGTCTAGAAATTTTACATTGGCCAACTCAACACAAGAATAGATTATTTGGGAACTAGTTGTAAGAGATTATAAGATGCTCGGTTATATCACTTATCAAGCTTTGGATATCGTTCAGGTAATGGTAATGTGGCTTATGTATCATTTACGTTTATCTTTACTTCATTTAAGTCCCTAATTTGGTGAGTACATATATCATCCATTTATTGTCGTTTTAATATTCACATTTCCACGAAATTTAGCATTCATTATGTACAAGATGATAGGCAACTTGATAACGAGGCATACAGATTTGTTTACTGAACTATGAGTTTAATCTCTTGTTTTAGGGCTAAAAATATCATTGCTAAAACGCAAAAATCTCAATAAATGAAGCGAACCTCAGATTCATGCTGTTATTTTCTTTTTAACGTAATCGAAATCAGTTGAGAAGATGAGAGGTAGGTAACAGACTAATTATCTCGGAAGTCCATATGATATATCAATGCTTCAGTTCACAGTTGGAAACCAGGACTCTCCTTTCTTAACTTAAAATCTGTGATTCAGTTAGCTAGACGTTAGACTTTCAAACCTTATTCATCATGTATGATACGTGCAGTTTACCAAGTACTAGAGTTATGTTTGGTACAATCACTTTCGCCAATATTTAGGTGTTTTTGTTTATTTTCCTTCACTTTCCCCAGTGGAACATAGGGCTTCAAGCTAGTGGCTTGAAGTTTCTGTAGTAGTGTTTATTTTAGATATGATAGAGAAGATTTGTAGCTCAGGTGGATGATTTTGATGTGGTTTTGTTCTCTGAGCTGGATGTTTAGTTTGCGAAGCTTTCATCACCCTACTGGGTGACATCTTCAGCGCATACTTCAATTTGAAGTGAGCTTTTAGGTTTCTCCACGAGTTTGCTAATCATTCCTCCTGGTGACCTTGGACGTGATTGGTTGTTTATGTGTGTTTTCACACCTTCTAGGTTACTTGTGTTGGAACTGATTGTTTCTTTGACTTGAACTTTGACCCTTTATGTGTGAGGTTTCTTTCTTATCGGTTGATAAATTTTGTCTGTCTCGATGTGTCTATTGATTGATGATTCACTGGAATGCCAAGCTTCTAAAAATTCCCTAGGATTCTTGTTGTTTCCTCTGTCTAATATTTGAACGTTGTCCCAGTCGAATTGATGTCCGTGGTTGTCTGTGTGTAGTGATATGAGGGAGTGGATATCATGTCTTTTGACGGCTAGCTTATGATCGTGGATACGAAGACGAAGGGGACGTCCACTTTGGCCAATGTAGTGTTTTTCACAGTTGTTACAGTTTATTTTGTAGATGGTGTTGGTTTTATCTTCTTTCGCTGTTGAGTCTTTTGGTTAACATAGAATTGAGTGCAGCGACTTTGTTGGTTTGTGTACGACGTCAATTCCTAAAGGTTTGAAGAGTCTTGTAGTGATTTCTGAGATATCCTTTGTATATGGTAAGGCGATTTTCTTTGTGCTTTCGTTGGTGGCTTTTGTTTTGGTAGGTTGGCTTGGGGGTATATACCCCCAGCTCAGAGAACAAAACCACATCAAAAGTGTTTATTTTACAGGATGAGGTTGCTAGCCTCATGCCCAACCTTTCCTCTTTACCAGAATTATTTCTGGTTTAGTGAGGTAAAGGAGTGCGTCGGCCAGGGATCGAACCCCGAATCATGTGCATGGTCGGCGAGCGTCCTAACAGTTATACCACCGACGCTAATATTGAAGTGTGCCGAACTGTATATGATCCATGAACTATCCACAAAATATAATACGAAAGGCATATTATATCTATCTAATTCATTGTGATCGACAAAAGTTGTATGAAAGGTAGACAGTATTCTCAGCTGTCAAATAACTTGCTACTGAAGACAGTAGTGTAGATATAAAGACTGACAGTTATCTTAAAATTACTATCTAATCTTTATTGCCTTGATCTGCTATAGACTGAATCATCAAATTCAAAGTGATACTGTAACGACAGAAGGCAAGAGTCGGGCAACAGATTGTTTATTAAGGAAATCAACACATATTTATAGATTTTCATGTACATTATTATAGATTATTGTTAGCAGACAAATACAGTCTTCTGATTGGTTGTTTCCCACAGAAAGTTAACTATGCATCTCTTTGTGGCTGTTTCTTGAATGTCAGATCATCTATATGTTAACTGTATCCGCCTACGCAAAGCCTTTGTTCTCACTTTCCCCACGACCAATATTGGGGACATAAACATTGACGTAAATTACTGTCCACCAATTTTGACTAACAGCGAGCTCTTACCACAATACTACCACAGTATTCTTTCAAAAGCAAAAGAGACTGTAAGCTCAACTGTTAAAATTCTTGGCACTTGATATGATTCTTTATACCATCAGTGTACGGAAGTAGATGATCAGGATACTTGTGCTATTTACTATTCAACTTTTAGAGCTGAATCATTTTGGGCTTTCACAAATGATATATCACTTATATCGAGTCGAGTATTACTGCAACCTTTTTCTTTCCATCGAATAAGAAGTAATAAAACGTAGAACAGAGAAATGGGGTATTAAAACAGAGTAAGAATGAGTTAAACCAGGTAGGAATGCATCTGCTTCATTGTGATTGATTATAAGGCATCTTCTTAGCTGTCTCGACTTACATACCTACATTTCTGTACACCACTCAGTTTGACGGTGAATATCCTTATGAAATGATACGGTATCTCGGTCTGGTCATCCTTCTCCACCTTCTATGAGGATTCTACTCTAAATTAAGCGCTGGGTTTGCGTCGGTGGCCAACCATGCACATGGTTCGGGGTTCGATCCCCTGCCAGCGCATACCTAATATCAATGATCGGCCTGCAAAATTTGGGCTACCGATATCACATGCTGAAAATTCCATGCTTTTGCCGAAAATACGGTGTGGAATCAAGCTATAATAAAAAATAAAAATATTTCTAGTCTATCTTAAGTAATGCTGGCTTAAAGTTTACTCATCTTACCTAGGATTGTGCGCTTAGCTCTTATATTACTCATTCCTCACTTTATCCAGAGTTATTTGATACTCTGAATGTGGCGACAGTTAAATATTTGGGGTCGCCACATGTCCTCTTTTCTAATGACCATCCTGAGTAATATACTCTACCCACAGTTAGCAATACGATGCAGCCCTTTAACCGTAAATGGGGCAGTTTGGCGAAAGTCAGACATATAGATAAATAGTTTATGAACTAAGCTTCATATGAGCGAAACGGTCACTTTGATCTAGCTACATAGCATTATAAGTTGTTTTAAGTAGTCTGGAAAGAATTATGCGAGACAAGAATATGTGCTATACAGTTGTCATCAGTGCTACTGAACATCCATCGACGTGTAAAACAGCGGTATTGTGGTGAGAAATGGCTGCTAGCCAAATCGGTAGATAGTAATTTACGGCTATGTTTACGTCCTCAATATGGGTCGTGAGAAAAATACGAACAAAAACTGATTCAACAACCAGCCACAGCAGACGTTGCGTAGGCGGATACAGTTAACATATAGATGATCTGACATTCAAGAAACAGCCACAAAGAGATGCATAGTTAACTTTCTGTGGGAAACAACCAATCAGAAGACTGTATTTGTCTGCTAACAATAATCTATAATAATGTACATGAAAATCTATAAATATGTGTTGATTTCCTTAATAAACGATCTGTCGCCTAACCCTTGTCTTCTGTTGTTACAGTATTATATATATATATATATATATATATATATATATATATATATATATATATATATATATATTTATATATATATATATGAGTATATTTGATAGTCATCTCAGTTATTTCAGTTGTGCTTACCGTTTGATATTTATTTCCATCCTCATTTGCTTTCGCCTTCTCTAAAATAAAGGAAGTTTTATGTGTAATAACAAAAGAACTATAAAAAGCTTATGGGTAATCTGATCGATTATGCATTATTCAATCTTACTTTTTGCTTTACCTTCTTTTTTTGATGACTGTATGAATCACAACTTCTAGCTTTTGGAGTTCAGTGATTACTAGATCACCAATTTTCCAACTCTGTATTCATTTGTATGCATTAAATTTTTTTGGATTCAACACTAAACATGTAGTCTCTTTATTGCAGTAAAGATGTGGCTCATTGACTTCAGCACTTTACTTTCCAGCAATGGATCCCAGACTTGAATGTAGCCTTCTAAAATTCAGCTTGGATAGTGCTCACTCAAGTGTGAATCAATTGTGTAGCCTAGTGCATAGGAAAAGCCTGTTGCCAGTTCACTGAGTTCTTATTCCTAACCTAGTTTCTTCATCTGACGTTAAAATTGACCAATATCAGCAAGGTGAGAACCTTGGTCAAAAAGATTAGGCAGACACAGTCATTACCCCAATCGCGTAATCGTCTGGATAGTCCCGAGGCTATAGCAACCAGGCTTCTGTCATTCTTTTCCCAATTAAAAATCCTAGTGATTTACCAGGCGAGTCCTAAAAAAGTAACCACCTTTTCACAAAAAAAACAATAGCTCTCATGTTTAGTAATAAGGAAATGTTGATAAGCATCAAATCAGAAGGAAATCAGCACCCGAAAAATGATTCATTACAGCGGTTTATCTGCTGATAACTGTAACGCCGCTGAAATAAGAGTATTTATTATTAAGCTATACAACAGACCAACACTGAAGATCACTGAGAACGAGTATACTGTCTATTGTAATTCACTAGGTAGTTCTCATAACTGAAGTATTATCATTTTTAAAATGTCAAGTGTTTATCCTAATTCCATTGTTAACTAATAGTACTCAGCCATTGTTGTTATTAGATGGCTGGAGGCAATCTCCAGTGAGCCTTGGACCTAGGTTTCGTGCTTGTTGGCACTCAACGGTCACCAAGGTGTATCTAAAATCTTGAAGGAACTCATGTCCCTTCTGAGATTCGAGCCCGTGTCACTCAGTGTCGGTTGCACTCAGAAACGTTACCACTGAGCTATCCAAGCTCGTGAAAGACCGTCTCTAGGACTGTACTAAATACTTTTGACTGGACACTGACTAGGTTCTTGTATCCAGTCGTATCTTTGGTGCAGACTGAATTCTATCAGTCAATCATAAATATCCAATACAGTCCTACAGGAGGTCAATTATGAGTCCGAATAGCTACTCAGTAGTAACCTCTCGTACTGCAGGTGACACTGGGTGATGCGGGTTGGGATCTCAGAAGGGACATGAGTTCCCCCTTTCAAGTTTGCAGATATTCCTTGCTGACTGGTGAATGCTAACTAGCAAGAAACCTACGTCGAACAAGGCTTCCTACCGATTGCCTTCAACCACCTAATAACACCAATCCTGATTTTACCTTGATGGGAAACCACCTAGTGTTATGGTAGCCACACTGCAAACTTGACTGATATAATTCAGTCTGCAGTAAGCAAAGGACTAGACACATGAGACTGGTAAGTGTCCAATCAAAAGTACTCAGCCATATTCCAGAGAAATAAAAACACTGCTAAACAGAGTTTAATTTAATAACCAGTCTTGTTTACCATTATGTATATACAAACCTGTTCTAAACGTTTTCCTGTGCTTAGACTTTCACATCCCAAAGTAAACACTTTTGTGACTAACATAAAAGTCAATGACCCAGTGTAATTTTCACTCTACAAAATTTGGTGACGACGATCCGTGGAAAAAGTATCAAAGAATTCTCAGTTTCATTAGGTGATCACAGATATTTTTAATTGAAACATATGTTTCTTTCAGGTTCAAGAATTGGATACTTAAACAATCCCTTATAGCTACAGATCATCATGATTCCCGCCAGAGTGGAAACTAGAATAGACTGTTTCCCTATAATGCAATCAAAATGAAATACGTATTACTGGCTGTACACAAACACTGTGAATTACAGAGTGCTTGTCAGTCTCTCTCGCCCTATATTTAACAATATACAACTAATATCTAGAATAATATTTTCTTGTGACTCTTCTTCCAAAACACTAAAGCGGCTTTAAACTGATCAAGGTGACAAATTTTTATAGCATCACCTGTAAATAATATCTGTTTATTGTAGGTGTGTCTATGTGTGTTTGGAAAAGAGAGAGAAGAACTAGTAGGAAAACACACTAAATAAAGAAAGCAAAACGACTGTGATAAAATCCAAGAAAACTGTTGCTTAGCTTTACAATGATGTATTTCGATAGAAAACGAAGAAACATATAATTTCTGATATATGGTAGTCTTGAATGACTAACTGTGCATGGATAGCAGGATTGAAAGAATAATGAATTACCTGGGACAGGTAATTTTCTGGCATCGAATAATGAAGGAGAGAAAAAATGCATCACAAATACTAAGTGAAATGAGAAAATGAAATGAACGGGAGAATAAGGTTAAAATGTTCAATATTTACTGTATCCAATATACAAGATGGCAAAAAATTGAACTATTGTTAAAGACTTATATTTAAATTAAGTCAATAATTTTCATTCAATAATAGTGCAATGAATCTAGAGCCATAATAACTTTACTTAAAGCCAGTAATTCCCTTTATGAATTTAGATAAAGCAATAAGAAGAAGCAATTTGTCTGAATCGTCTAAGATGTATTTGCGCAACACATTTCGAACAATCTGATCGCACACGGACTTGTCATAGGAATATATATGAAATTAATCAAGAGTTAAGAGGTGACAAAATAGACTCAGGTCAAGTAAAAAGGACGTATTCAAGGCCAAAATAACAATGAAGACCACTTAACCAAATAGGAGGGGTAATAGTACATCTGCTATGGTATGAAAACAAAATTTACCGAGGAAGGTTTAGTGTGATGACGAATTGTTTTTGAATGCATAAAGGTGGCTTAAACTTCCTAACTGATAGCTAGGACTTTGCCAAATTTTAAGATACGCCCCAAACACGTTTTATAGGTAGGTTGAAAAGATATGTTAACTTCAATTTTATTTCCTGTCTCTATAATATGTTTCGCAATATAGCAGCTAGGTCGCCTGTTCTCATCATCAATGATTGCTGGGGATTATATTTGCTTCTGAAGCCATTTAGGAATATGCTCTTAAGCCAGCCCTTACTTGCAGAGATCGATAAGTCACCCCAATGTATGTGTGATCACACGTACGTTCAAATTGGTAAGTACAGTGGGATGTGACATCCCTCTTCGCATGTTCTAAGGGCTCAGATGGATATATCAGCTTCATATTCTCAGTTATTATGCTATTAGCTGCATAAAAAGTCCTTCTAACGGCAGTGTTCGATCTTCGTCTAGTTATCAAGCTGCTATGACCACCCATATAAAGTAGCTTGATGTACACGTCTTTTTAGCGACGAGTTGGAGGTGAGTCTTGGTGTTCTGACTGCTTTATATCTTCCGATGAGCTTGTCTGGATAATTATTATCAACCAGAGTTTGATTCAACTTTCATTCTTCCTCATCAAGTGTGTCTACAGTGCATATTCGTTGCATTCTACTAAAGAGGCACCTTACTAAGGCTCTTTTGTACCGAACAGGGCAGAAACTGTGATAGTTAACATACTATCCTGTTCATATAGGTTTTCCATAAACAGATTGTTTAATTGATCCATCAGGCCGTCGTTTAAGCAATATGCCTAGGAAAGATAAACAATTATCTTCCTGTTCTACAGACGTAAGTGATATGCTATTTTGAACTTCGTTCATTCGGTTCAAAATTGAGATGGCAAAACAAAGCTTATCACTCATGACTGTAATATCGTCTGCATGTCTTCTATAAAGTGGCACATTTTCGATTAAATCCTCCGATAAGCTGTCAATGCAAGACGTATAAATATCTCCAAAAAGGGGCATTTACAGACTTCCCATAGCAACACCATCAATCTGGCGGAAACAATCTCTGTCAAAAGTAAACATAACATTGCTAGTACATAAAAGTAATAAATAACTTAATAAGATGTAGGGAACGGGATGAAAAATTAGAATACACGATGCAGAAAAATTGCGTCTTCTTATTGCTTTGTCTAAATAACTTTACTGTCCTACGGTAGGGGTAATCAAACACTGCATCATAATTTCTTTTCTGTGTATCTCATGAAGAGAAAGCTACTATGAAATAGGGCTGACTTAATCGTGATGGACTCATTTCTCTTCAAGCCACCAGTCTGTAGTATTATAAAAGCGAAGATCAAATATAGCGTAGTTTCGTTCCTATCACTGAGTGAAGAATATTTTCCTCACTTTTCAAGCCAACTGGGAAGTAAAGGCTGAGAATCAACACTTAAAAATTAAAACAGAGTTTGGACTATCGGAGAGATGATTGAAAATGGAGAACTCTTCGCTGACTTCTGCACCTTCAATGAAATAGCGATTGGTGGCAACGTATAAAAGCACAAGGCTACATAGGATTCACCAGACGGGCGAAACAAAAGTCAAATTGACTTCATCTCAATCTCAAGGAAGTGGAGACGCAGCTTATCGGACACAAAAGTAAGAAGAGGAGCAGAAATCGGCTCAGACCACTATCTCGTACAAGGCACTCCTCAAATTGAATTAAAAGCTTTCAAAAAAAACATAAGCTGCAGATAGACCACAAGCCAAGTTCAATACTCAAAAACTGAAATATCAGGTCACAAAGAGCATCTTCACTACAATCATAAGTAATATGGCGGGGACACAAATCAGCACTAACGAAGAGATTAGCGTCGAAATGCGCTGGAATAGTCTGAAAGCGGTGTGGAGTCAAACCTTCATCAAAGTTCTAGGCAGGAAGAAGAGACAGGACAAACAGTGGCTCACTATGGACACGTGGAGGCTAATAAAAGGGAGAAGGATGGTGAAACAAAAGATTATCCAATGCATCGACGAGCGACAAAAACAGGATCTTAATGCAAACTACAATACACTAAACAAAAGAGTAAAGAAGAGTTCCAGAAAGACAAAAGAAAATATTATGAAGCCATGGCAAGTAAAGCAGAGCAAGCTGCAGGCAAAGGAGACCTCGCAACACTCTATCAAACAACTGGGTTCTTATCCGGAAAAGATCAAAACAAATTAAGCCAGTGAAGGATAACAATGGAAAGCCAATCACCAAAGAGGTGGAACAAAGGAAACACTATATTGAACACTTCAAAAGACTTCTAAATCGACCGCCACCTACAGCGCACCCAATAATACCGTCAGCGGAAACACAACAGTGGACATCAACCGTCCGGCGAGAACAGAAATCCTGAAGGTCATAAAAGTGCTAAAAACTGGAAAAGCAGCAGAACCAGACGAATTCCCAGCAGAAGCATTAAAAATAGACCCAGGGACATCAGCGGACTTGATGACACCACTACTGGAGACGGTGTAGAAAGACGGCAAGGTACCTGAGGATTGGAAGAAAGTCTACTTTGATTTGACACTAGTAACTAGTGTGTTGCGTCTAGTGCTCTGATTGGTGTAGACTGTAATTCTATCAGTCAGGTTGTAATGTGACCACCATTCTAGCTAGCTCACCATCACGCTGCACATTGATTTGATGGTATTAGATGGTTGGAGGCAATCGGCAGGAAGCCTTGCTCGGTCCAGGTTTCGTGCTAGTTGACACTCACCAGTCAGCAAGGTGTATCTGCAATCTTGGAGGAACTCATGTCCCTTCCAAGATTCCAAACCGAATCATCCTATTCGGGCTCGCGATTGACCTCCTGTAGGACTGTAGTGGGTATTTCCATTGGACACTGGTAACTAGTGTGACGTGTCTAGTCCTTTCTTTGATGCAAACTGATAGAATTCAGTCACTAATTACTAGTAACCAATGAAAGTACCCACTACAGTTCTACAGGAGGTCAATCGTGAGCCCGAATAGCTTAGTGGTAACGTCTCTGACTGCAGCACTGGGTGACGCGGGTTCGAATCTCAGAAGGGACATGAGTTCCTTCAAGATTGCAGATACGCCTTGCTGATGAATGCCAATTGGCACGAAACCTAGGCCGAGCAAGGCTTTCTGCCGATTGCCTCCAACCATCTAATACCATCAGAAAGTCTACTTATTCAAACTGTCAAAGGAAGGAGACTTAAATTAATGAAAGAACTGGCGCGGAATTATGCTTATGTCTATCCCGAGCAAAATACTAAGCCGCATCATCCTGAGGAGAATTAAACAAGCTCTGGATGAAAAATTCGAACGGAACAGGTTGAACTCAGGAGGAACAAGTAATGCATCGATCAAATCGCAACACTACGAATCATCATTGAACAGAGCTTGGAATGACAGTCACCTCTCCATCTCAACTTTGAAATGGCTTTCGACAGAGTCGATCAAGAGATGATCTGAGAAATACTTCCTATAATACTTGGTGCCACCAACAATTATACACCTCATCCAACAGTTGTACAACAGTCTCAAGTAATCCACAAGGGGAAACTTACGGATTCCTTCGAAGTGAAGACCGCAGTAAGAAAACCTGGCTGCCTACTAAATCCAATGATTTTCCTGATTGCGGTAGACTGGATAATGCGACAGACAACGGGCAGCGAAGAAACATGCATGAAATGGAGCAACACAAAAATTGGGGTATCTGGACTTCGCCGATAATATATGTGTGATCTCCCACAAACTGGAAGATAAGCGAGTGAAAAGCAGCAAGTTGGCAGAAGAAGCACCAAAGATAGACCTTCACATGAACATAGAGAAAACAGAGTTGATGAGGATTCCCGGCCAACAGCAACAACAATGAGCATAAATAGGAGAAATCTGAAACAAGCAACCTCCTTTACCTACCGTCCTGTGAAGCATCGTTTCAACTACAGGCAGGAGGAACTGATGAGGATATCAAAACAAGGATCAGGAAGGCAAGGTGAGTTTTCACTACTCTCAAGTCTGTGTGGAGATCAGCAGCACTCAGCTTGAAAAACTAGGTTCGAATTTTAAACTCCAACGTGAAGTCACTGCTGCTATACACATCAGAGACTTGCCGCGTCACGAAGGGCACTTCGAACAAACTACAGACCTTCATCAACAGCTTTCTTCGTTCAATACTTAAGATCAGATGGCCAGAAAAGATCAGTAACAGGGATCTCTGGGAGTGAAACAACCCAGCAGGAACCGATTGTGCAACAAATATAAAGGAAGAAATGGAGGTGGACTGGCCATACTCTGAGAAAACCATCAAGTGACACCACACGTCAGGCCATCGCTCGAGTGGAACCCGAATGGGAAGTGGCGAGTTGGTCTTCCGAGGGTGACGTGGAGGAGGTCATGTGAAGAGGAGACAAAAGCATGTGGGCAGATGTGAAGCTAGGTGAAAACGTTGGCAGATAACCGAACACAATGAATACGTGCGGCTGAAGCCCTATGTTTCTCTAGGAACTAGAGGAAACAATAATAAATGAAATCGGACTATAAAATATACCCCTTCAGGGAGAATAAGTCAATTTAAGCAAATACATTCAATCTAGCTAGAACCTTATATCAATAAGCACTTATGAGAGTTAAATCACAATTATTATTTCATACACTAGCGCTATAGATTACTGCCCAGACTGACGTCGAAGACCCTAACAAAAAAATCTGTAACTTAGAGAACAAAAAAATGATTACTGTTTTAAAAGTTCGAAGAAAATATTCAATGAGCTGCTCACTAACGATTGGCCTTATTCAGGTAAGTAGTTACCTGAGGTTCTAGTGGGAAGTCGTAACCAGTAGGGTACAGTAGGTAGGATGTGAAGACAAATACTCGCCGAAGACATTGGCTAGTGGTCATTCTATGTCGTGAATTGGCAGAAGTTGAAATTCATACGCTGGCCATTGAATCAGGTCCCAGTGGTTTAATGGTCTACAAGCTCGCTAGGCTTGTAACCAGAAGGTCCTGGGTTTCGACCCCGTGGTGTGGGTGCGTACTGCTGAAGAGTTCCAAAACAGACTGATGAAACAACTGGCTGCCGATTGTTCGCTGCAGGTTTTCCAATGGTTCTCTAACTGATGTTAGCTCATGATGAAATCCTGCAACCAGTTCCTACTCAGTTTTTCACGTCTCATTGTCAGATGGCTTGGAAGGCAGAGAAAGAGGTGGAGATTTCATCAGAAACAATATACATTCCTACCAATGGAGGTATCACTTCAATGAAACCCATTTTAGTTTTTGTCTAAAAATCAAGTGAAGTCAGAAAACTAGCACTTGATAAACAAATGATAATTAAAGTCTGTTCACGTAATACGATGATATTTGTTTTTATCTTCTCTTTTGATATGCATGGAAGATCTGCGTTCAGAATAAATAGAGTGGTATGTGAATCTCAGCGAAGCAGTCATGAAACTGTCTAATTCTATGATAATATTTTTCACATTACCTACACCATACCATACACCTAGACATCTATATCACTTGAAGGGTCCAGTTAATAAAAATTAGAACAAAACAAGAACGATAAATGGTACATTTGTCCAAGTTTACTAGTTGGAAGAACTGTATGGAATTTTTCATAATAATTTGTTCTGAAACCGAAATCAGCTGTAGAAGTGATGATAATCAAGTGATACCATCCACTTGGTCCCGCCTTGCTAATAGGCTGTATCAATAAAAGCCACTTTCCGAGATGTACAGTAATATACAGTTAGTGACTTGTCACGAAATGCTAAGTGTTTTATATAACTGGCAAACCTGCAATACGTGATATTGTTAAACTGATTCAAATTAATCATTGATATTGTTTTACAATGAGATCAACCCTATAGTCCAATAAATTCTCAGTGTTCATTAAAAGAGGATTTAGTGATCATCACATACCTTTAGAAGACAGTTTCCTCGCATCCATAATAAAACGTCTCCTTAAAATGATCAACATTAGACACAGTAATAGTACAAGAACAATCATGGCTACAATTAGACCAACAATGGCTGACCAATGATAACTATTCATATTCCTTTGATTTGTAGACATTCCGGGAGCATTTGCACTAAAACTTGCATGTTGATAAACTGATCGTGAATTTTTATCATCTGTCCAAGCATTTGTATTACCTCTTAAACGTCGATTAAAATCCAGACTCCGCTTAACATCAGCAAGATTCATAAAATTATTGTGATTATTATTTTCAAAGGTCAACCCATTCACTGAATTTGCTGGATATACATGCAATGTTAAGAGTGCTGTCGAGGATTTCGGTGGTTGACCTGCATCACTTGCTTGAATCAACAGCTTTACGTCAACTGGCTGACTGCAATCAAGTATAGGATGGATTAGAAATAACTGTCCACTGTAACTGTCAATATCAAAGTGTTCTTCTGTTGGTCCACCCAAAAGTACTTGCGATAATGGAGCCCATTTAACATGTCTTGAATTGGAAGAATTTCTTATTTCTAATGTCTTATTAACACCATTTTGTCCGAAATCCGTTACTTCTTGTACAACTGATTGGTTTACTTGTGACTTTTTATTGTGAGACTCTGAACTTCTTTCTAATTTTTCTTGACTGCCCAGGATGGTACTACTGCTTCGTTTAACTTTTTTAATTTGCTGCCTGCCACTGCTATGACGTATAATACTGTACTCAATATCGCCATTACGCCCTGTGTCAGAATCATTTGCGTGTACCTGAGCAATAATTTGACTTCCCAACTGGGCACATGATATGTTTAGTACACTACCTGTACCATGAGGTGTGGGATACCGGAATTCTGGTGCATGATCATTGACATCTGATATACTTATATGAACAATGGCAGTTGCACGTCTTGGTGGATTACCAGCATCCTCAGCATATACTGACAGTTCATAACTGTCTTTTAGTTCACGATCCAATAAATTCGAAGTTTTACTAAATAATTCATTGGAATGGTATTTGCCAGTATCCATAGTATTTTTACGTACTGTCAACTTTCCTGTATTTTTGTCTAAATCGAATTCTTTACTTGGTTGACGCAAAAAATACTGAACCTGAAGAATAAATAGGAGAATAATAACAAATATGAGGACATCATTAGTACAGATGTAAGAAACTATCAGTATATATATATATATATTCTGCACAGTATGTAGGCGTTTCTCTTTATCTATTCTCATCATGGAGACTTTTAAACATTTTTTCTGGATATTCACTCCAATAGCGTCGGTTATACAGATTTTTATGGCACAAAGCGTCAGAGCACTGATGAAAGTTTGTTTGTATGCAAGAGGAAAAAAACAATATGACCTCTTCCGGGAAATACTCCCGTTAATACTACTATCTAGCCTTCTTGTTATCAGGAAATGATAAAGTGTTTTCGTTCCTTGTTTCATTTGTGAACTCAGTTTCTGGGTGAGCTTTAAAGAGGACTTTGGTATTCATTTATTCTTTCGCAGTATAAAAGTATCGTTCATATATCTACAGTAGAACCAGAGTTCGCTGAGAAAATTTTCAATTTTATGATTCTCTAATTTTGACATACTTTTAACATACTGGCTAACTGAGGACCCAGAAGGGAGTCCATCGCTACACCCTTCAATCGACAATAAATTTCGTTGTTAAACTAAAACTCCACTTTCATCGTCTAACTCAGTAACAGCTTCTGTAGTTTTTGAAATGGTTCACATGCTTTCATATTATTTCCTTGCAAAGATTCACAGATGAAACCAATGGTCTTTAATTAAGGGATATTAGTGAACAGGGCAGTGACATTCATAGAAGCATTGTTTCAGAGTTGATCCTCTTATCTCTTACTTCTTCTGTAAATTGGAAGGTGTACTTCAAGCTGTACTTAGCCACTTTTAACTAAAGTGGTTTGAGTATGCCTGCTAACAATCTTGATACTTTATGATATGGTGAGTTACACATGTTTAATACTGGTCTCATTGGCAATTCGGGATTATCAATTTTAAGCATCCCACACATTCTATGTTATATCACACAGGCTGTAGATTTTCAAGAATTTGAGGAAACACTGCATAACTGGATACTTGAGCTTTCAATGTCTTAGAAGATTCCTTTACTACTTTCTCTATATCATCCTTACCGTTAAGTGGTCTGTGGAAGTTTTCAGAATCTTGTAGATTATGACTTCATCTGATCACGTATATGGCCTAAATGTTTGAACAGTAATACAGATTACACCAATTCTGAGTACCGTATTTCTGCATCAGTATGTGAAACTTTTGATTATTGATACGTGGTCATTTGAATGAGACATACTGATTTTTAAAATATAATTCGTTATTATTCCACCACTTTAAGTCATTGAAGTTTATGACTACATTCAGGTAAACTCAACCGACAGACATTTAACTTGCATCACGAACCGACTTCTCATTTAGAGGAATGTTGAAAACTAGGGGGTCAAGGGTAGCTGTTCCATATTGGTTTGAAACCCTTCAACAGTACACACCAGTGACTTAACTGTTGGCTGGATACAAGACCTCTAATTTGCGATGCAAGCCTATCTACTACTCAGTCGATGGGACAGATTCCAGTGGCCTATTATTCCAACATCTGCTAATTTGCGATATATAGTACCACCGCTAACCAATGTCATAGGTGAGTATTAGTCTTCATACCAAACTTCGTCAATATTTCAGTAGCCCGGCGCCGAGAATTTGTACTTTTAGATTCCTTTTTCTGGGTGTGGAATTAGGTTTCTCAAACGAATAGTAGCTGATAAGCTTTCTTTTGTAACTGACTATTTATGCAATTGCTTTGCATTCTGATAAATCACTGTAAGTGTACTTGTTTTTCGTGACTATGCTAATGTGACTGGTATTCGATCTCGAGGAACTTTGTATTTATTGATTATAATCATATTTCAATAGCTTCCACACAATTATAATGTTTTTATTTTGGTAAAATAAACAAAAATTATAACAGTTGGTGTAGTCATGGGCAGTAAGTTTGCTCGAGATATTGCCAAAACAGAAAACTTATCACTGTGTATAAACTAACGAAAAATATTTATAATTAAATTGATCTATTCCACAATGCATAATCTTCTTACTGATAATAATTTGTGTTTATTTATTAGCAGCTAGAACATCATATTACGATTGTTATTTTTGTTTATTTCTTGTTACTTTCAGTGAAAATACTAATTAATAATCTAAACTCGACAATTTTAATTATATCTCAAAACATATTCAGTACTGGATAGCCGCTTCCTCCTAGTTTGGGGCTTGTCAGGTGTATGCGTCTTCCAGTGTTCGAACATAGGACTTCCAGTTACAAGGCTAACTAGTAGACGATTTAGCCAGTGGCCCATAAACTTCAACTTCTGCCAGTTCGCGGTTTTAGCACGACCACCAGCCAAAGTCATTGGCGAGTACTTGTTCTCGCTCCCGACCTGGTAGATCTGGTGGAACCGGGAGGTCTTGGATTCGAAACACGGTGGGTGCTTACTGATGAGGAGACTCAAACCGGGACGTTGTTGATGTTGATTCTTCACGAAATCTTCGATCGAACCCCCAAAAAATCAAATCCCTACACACTGCTCTTGAAAATATTCCATTCTGTTATCACTTCAGAAACCTCATAAACACTAAAATTTATCGTAAAATTCACTGGTCAATCAAATGGAATTATTTATACAGTTGAATTTCTATTTAATTCGATTTGCATTTTCCCATCGATTGATTGAACCGAAGTGCTTGGTCTCAGGTTGACATGTCGGCTCCTTTTGCAGATGCATCGACTATGTCTGGTTATGAAACTTGAAGTCAGTTGGTGGATGGTAACTAGCAGTGAAATCCAGGATGATGGGCATTTCGTCCTACTTGGGAGTTGCCACTGGATGTACCTGCATTCCCCAGTGAGTCAGCGATAGTGTTCCCAATGAGGCTCCGACATGACCAAACACCGTCGAAACATCTCTAGAAGGATCCGACATAACAACCCGAGACCGAACACTTCGGTGGAATCAATCGACGGGAAAATCTAAAATTAAATTAAATAATTAATAAGACTCGTTGCGAAAGAGATGGATTCGTGACCCAAGTAATCTAGTGGATAACGCTTTGACGTTTGAAACTATGGGCACTGGGTTCGAACCTCAGTGGAGACACTATCACTGACTCACTGGGGAATGCAGATACATCTAGATGGCCAGTCTTGGATAGGACGGAATACGCGTTATCCTAAATTCCATTGCAACTCACCATCCACCAATTGACTTCAATTCTAATTTGTGTTCAACATTTTCTTGCTTCAAATGTCAGTATATCTTCATTGAAGTGAAAGAGATTTATAATTTTCTTATCTCCTGTGTACATTGCATAAATCCAGATGACACCAAAATGGCTGATCACGCTACATTTCATTTTTAAACTCTTATTAAATGTTATATTTTTGAATAAACAAGAGGACAGTGTATTTTGTGAACATATCATTTAAAACAATAAAGCCTATACTATTGATTGTGGATGATATATGTGATTTATCATAGCATTTCTTGACTTCATACACAATAACATCAAATTTCAATTCTTAAAGTTATCATTAACAATGAATGAAAAAAGCAAGAACAACTGTTTTTGTAGAATAAAATGGTACTACCAAAGCTTCATTAACAAATACCCAAGGTCTGACGGCTGGAATATCAAACAAATCACAGTGGGAAAAAAGCCCGTCCTCATTCAACTTTATATTAAAGCAATTCTCAACAGAAGATTGAGGACATCACTAACCAGAGTCTATCCTGCAGCTAAGCTGGTTCCCGTATAACAAACAACTAGCTCTTTGGTGCAATCAAAAGTCGACAGATATCCTTCTTATGTTAAATTCAGCTGTGTTTAAAAATTTACATGTATCTGCTGGAGCAGTTACTTTGGGAGAACAGAAAGAAGAGCACACCTCCGATTTTATGGACATGTGCCAAAAAGCCTTTGTCTAAAGAGAAAAATTGCTTTCAACAGTGCCATCGCCAGGCATCTCCTTGACACGAGTAATGAGGTGGACGTCGCAAGATCGTTCAAAATTATCAATAGGCAAAAACGTTCATTCCTCCTAAAGTTTACCGAAGCAATCTCCATCAAGTGCCTTAAACCCGATTTACGCGTTCAGAAAGAAACAGCTGTCAATCTATCCCTGTCATTATAAGTGAATATTTTTACCCTCTCGTTCATCTGATTACGTAATACCGAAAGTGTATGATTATTACTTTTTGGAATAAAGTGTTTATTTTTAGCATTGTATGGATGTATTGACTGACTGATTTTTTGTTTAAAAATCAACTCTATGCAAGTATGTTAAAATTGTTTCTGTAGATATATTAAATAATGTTTATGTGCTGTGAGCAGTTGATGAGAAGCCAACGAAAAAAATCATAGTACCAGTTTATTCTGTAAAAACTGTTTTTCTTACTTTATTCAAATTCATAGAGGAGAATAAATGTATAAAATAAGTGAAAATTTTGTTTTTAATTTTAAATCTACTTTGAAAATAATAATTATTACAAACGATTATCGATTAATTAGACATAAGAAAATACAGAAGTTTGAATTTTCATATCAGTGTGAAAGGGTATTATTCAGGATTTTGTATAGCTTTGTTTCACATTTAGTTAGTCATAATCGTATTTCATAATTTTCTCTTAAATTCATTCTGAATGGAACCAACATAAAGCGTTTTTTAAAGATTAATTCTTTTTCTCTCCAGTGGATAAAACATCTGAAAAGCAATCAAATTCTTAAACATTTGAACTCTTTTGAGATTTTCTAAAAGTATAGTTACTGAACAGAAAATATTCTTTCCGATAACCTCATCACCAGGTTCTACAGTTATATGTAAAGATAACAATGGAAGAATTAGGGTTATTAAACAACATTAATGTGGTTTAAATAACATCGAATCAATAATAGTAATATCAACGAGTTACAGTTCAAAAGCATCAAAATAACAATACACTGAATATCAGACAGACAAATTAGGAAAAACAATAGTAATACAGAATTCACGAATTTACAGTCTCTATTGAAGG